TCATGACTCTCGGCCGAGTGGTCGAATCTTATAATTGGGACCTGAGGAGTGAGCTTGATAAGCTAGATACTGATATTTAATCTTGTTACTCAGGCACCCAAGGGCCCGCCACAAGGCGGTGAGGAATCTGGCGGAGACGTGCGTACACCTGCACATGGTGTCAGTGTCACAGAGGAAGGTGCTGTTTCTGGGAATGGCGTATACCAGCCTGCGCGTGAGGAGCTCAAGGGTGGGCTCACACCCGCCATGTCTGCTGCGGCTAGCGCTGCCATCGATGCACTTCGAATTCTCCTCGATCACACCAAGGAGGCATCGCCCAGTAACCAAGCCTTTCTGGAACAAGTTGACGCAGTCGACGTTTCGGGGCTGACAGCATTGGCTTGGGCCGCGAGTGTGCCATTAGGCAGACGATCGGTTGAATGTATGCAGCTACTCTACTTATACGGTGCTCGAGACGACAGCCTTACAGTCGACGGTCGGGCGTTGGTCCATGTTGCTGCAGATGGTAAGAACGCGCACGCTCTGGTGTTCCTCATTGATGTTAAGCAGCATCCGGTTGACCTCGTATCATTTGGCAAACAGCATACGCCCCTAATAATTGCCTCCTTCCATGGTTCAAAAGCGTGCGTGAAGGCCCTTCTGAGACGAGGTGCCAATGTCAACGCTGCTGCACTGGATGGGGGCACGCCCCTGATTGCAGCTGCTTCCAGCGTTCAGACATTCGTCGCCAAGTTGTTGCTAAAGAAAGGTGCGAATGTCTTGGCAAGGCTGAATAGTGGCGAGTATCCAAGTCAGCTTACGCCCAAGACACCCCACGGACGTCTCCTAAAGCACTCTTTGTCCCTTGCCGAGCACAAAGCGTGGCGCACGCTTGAATACGCCCAGAGGCTTGCAGGTGATCCGCCTCCCGAGCCAGAAGAGGTCTTGGAAGATATAGAGTATTCTCTATTGGATGATATTGAAGCAGGTGGTGACACCGGAGGTGAAGTAGCCTGGAGTACCGAGGGCCTAGACCCCGACGAAGCATTTGAATACACCGCCGAGTAAATCATGGGCGATTTTCGGCCCGCCATTAGAAGGGCAGATGGGCGCCCGCCGCTGGCGCGCGCATGGAATAAGGTGTGGCCTCGCGCGGCTGGCGGTCCGCTCGTAACCTAGTACGGCAAGCAGCTCTGCACAAAAACGTGCTCCTGCCGGCGAAGGAAAGGAGCGAAGAAGCACTGAACTTCGGAGGAACCCAAGAAATCACCGCAGGAAGCAGAGCGCGCATGCAAGTGCGCGCCGTGCGAGAACGAGAACGAGCATCTAACGAGCCATCCCCAGGTCAACTAGACTATAGCTGAGACCGTGTTTCACTTCGCCCTAGCTAGAGCTCAGCGGGCCGCGCAAAGCTTAGCAGACGCGAAGCTGCCCGATGGCCTCTCAGCGTCATCTCGGGCGCGCGGCGCCGCCAAAATGCAAAGATGCGCGACGACCCCACTGAGTTTATGCTGCGCAAGCGGGAGGTTCAGGCGCACGCGAAGACCCAGCATCTGGACGATTGCGTGGCGACTCAAACGAGTAGTTTAGGGGGCTGGAATGCGGCGCGTTCGTCTCCCCGGACCCATAAGGCTAGACTTTGAGCCATTGCAGCATCGGGGATCGTTTGCCGTCACCCCGGCACCATCTCGTTACAAGGATTCGGCCGTAGGGCTCGAAACCGGCGTCCATGCCGCATCCGATGCGGACGCGCGTGCGACGCGCGGCGGACCGCCGACGTCGATTCCGGCTCCTTGACGTCCCAGAGGCTGCCCTTCGGGCCAGAGACCGTCGGCGTCATCATGGTCCCAGCGATGGACTTGATCCTCTCTCGGAGCGTCCCCGGTGCGGCCGACACCGGGGGCGTCGTCATGGGCTGCCGAGATCGTGGTCCGAATCGACGCCGATGGCACGGGAAGACGGTTTTTCATCATCG